CTGATAATTATTACAAGAAAAAAATAAAATGTAGATCGGTCATGTAAATTTCGATCACAGGACTCAGCACAGTTAAATGGTAGTGAAGTCCATAAATTCGAACTGCATCAAAATTCACATGACTGTGCTAAAATTGACATTAAAAGATCATCGGACCGGACTCAGTAAAGATATACTCATAATCAGGAGTGCATTTTTAAATAATGACAAAAGTTTATTGCTTATAACTGAATGATATGAGCTTCTTTTGGAAACTATCAGTATCTATAAATATAAATTTGTTTAAAGATTACTAACAGTAATTGAACGCATCTATAATAACAAAAACAAATAAAAATGGTATCAATTATGTTGAAGTTATGAACCGAAAACTAGTAGTTCAAAAAATAAATCTAAACGATAACAGAAAAACTAGGAGAAAGCAACCTAAATATTGTTCCGACTGTAAAGAAACAGACGATTGTATCAAACTCTTTTCTAAATCGATTAAAACGAACGTTAAATAACGTGAAACGACATAATTATATTCCAAAACGTATTATTTAACGGAAATAAAACTAAATATTATGATTATTATTCTAAATTTGCCTAATTCATATTCTAATTCACAAGGAACGTTATTTAGAGTAAATTTTACGTTAAAAATAGAATTTTTCTTTGGACATTGCCATATATAGGATAGCTTATGTAATATGACTATTGGTTAATTCCGTTTCATAGATGTAGCGTGCTTATCGAACATTTACAGAGAAGTGTGGTACGATCAACCCTCTAATGCATTTTTCTACTGTCTATGTGATATACTTTTATACTTTTTTTAAAATAACTTTTTGTTCTTACTAAATTTGCCTTTCTTGAAAAAAAAAAGTGTGTTCTATTATTATAAATAACTATATTCATGTTTTATTCGGTTTTTTTTTCTCATTTTATATGAAATAATAATTATTTAATGATTATCATTAAAAAACTTCTTATCCGATTATAGCCTGTTGAACGTATCCATTCGCAATATTCACAATTAAAAACAAAATTTACCAGTTTAAAAAAAAAAATATTAAAAATAACTTTTCTATGACCTAATTTTATATGACCTAATTTTATTAGTTTTTTTAAAAAAATCCATTTCCATTGAACTTTAAATTTGAAATTTTACATACTTTACATTGTTCTAATTAATAATGAAACAACGAAAAATACTTTCTTCCCAAAAAGAATATTAGTATTATTATTGAATTTAGAAATTATAATTGAATATCAAAAATTTCACTAATGAAAATGGAATCCCGTGTAACATAATTATAATGAAAATTTCCATTAAAGTATATACTGTATAACATAAGCAAAAATCGGTTACATCCATATTTGTTCTCTTTCATAAAGGAAAAGTACAATCCCTGGTTTTTGAAAAAAAAATCAAAAAAAAAGCTTTATATTTAGTTTTTTCAGGATTTCAGGATTTCAGGTATGATTTTTCTAAAAATATGTTTCATAAATATAGTAATTTAAGGTATTTAATTAATTAAACGTAATTAATAACGTGTATTATATTGATAATTTGATAATTTGTTTATGTAAATATCCAAAAAGAATTTACTCACAAAGAAATTACAGATTACAGTCAAATATCCAAAGGAATTATCTCGAATATCCCTCGTTTTGAAATCACGTAACTTTATTAAATTGGTAGCCAATTATAAGATAATTTTATAAAGAAATTTCTTGGTGTTTAATTACAATATAAACATTTCGCACATTAATTAGTTTTATAAATGTTATTTTTGTATTACAATTAAGATATTCATTACATAGCTATTTTGCTTTTCATAAAAGGAAAACAAGTAATTTTAATTTACTACGCCATATTAAGAAATCCTTTTAAGGAAATAAGTTTTTCCAAATCTCTTTGTTAATAAAAAATTGTTTCCAAAAATAAAGGAAATTTTGTTGATTGTTTTTTTTTTTGTTAATAATTAATAAAAAAAAATCGTGAGAAAAATTGTTTAAAGAAAACGGCGTTATTTTAATGTATAGCGATCAGAAACATATGCACCTATGCATCATTCTTTGTGACGTAAAATTGGTCATACGTATGAAATTCCAGTAATTCCGAATTTCATATTTCCTTTATAGTAAGTAATATTTCCAGTATTGCAAGATTAGTATTCCTTTGTAGCAAGGTTTCCCCTACAGTAATATTAATATTTCCAGTATTTCCTTATTTCCCCTACAGTAATACTTCAGTACATACTTCTGTAAGAATTTCTCCTAATGTTCCGAAGGGGTCGAGTCGGTTCGGGTTTTGAGGTGTATTTGAACTCGACCCGAGTGTAAAAGTAACGACTCGGATTCGACTTGACCTGACTATAGTCTGACTCGGATAACTCGGGTTCGACCCGTCAAGTTGTATTTACAGCAAAATTCAAAATATATGGGACACTTGAGAAATTTGATTGTCGGGTTGTCGGGTAGCCGGGTTACTCAGCAGTAGGTTATTATATAATCTGACATACTACCATTATACTCATGTCACATGTTATTTATACTTTTCTAATAAATAACCTACCGCCGAGTAACCCGGCTACCCGACAACCCGACAATCAAATTTCTCAAGTGTCCCGTATATTTTGAATTTTGCTGTAATATAAAAAAATTGAAATTTTTAGTTACAGCTGTTTTCATAAGACCTGGGACAAAATAAATTTTTGAACCCGACCGCCGACCCGCCGATCCGGTTCAGTTGTTATTTATTTTACAAATCAAACTATCAAATCTGGATCACGTGCCCAACTAAAAATACCGGATCGGCGGGTCGGCGGTCGGGTTCAAAAATTTATTTTGTTCCAGGTCTTATGAAAACAGCTGTAAAAATACAATAGAAAGATTCGGGTCGCCGGGTCAAAGTAAAGGTATAACCCGTTACGGGTCATCAAATCATGCGACCCCAACCCGACCCCTAAATACGAGTCGGGTCAATAACCCGGGTTTGACCCGACCCTTTCGGAACACTAAAATTTTCTCCCATAGTAATATTTTCAATATTTCCTTTGTTGTAACATTTCCAATATATTTCCCTTTTATAGTACAAAAAAGTTTTTTTATCCGTTAAAGGACACGTATAAAGTAATTGGCAAGGGTTATTTCTTTTTTGGTATGAACAAAAAAAAAAGGCGTAAATTTGTTACGGAGTAAAATGTAAATCAAAATGAATCAAATGACATAATTACACGAAAAGGAGTTTCTTTTTCTTTTTTTGAAACAAACAATAAAATCTTAAAAATCAGTGATTGTAATATTATCATTATTTATTAATTAAATTTGTAACGCGGAAAAAAAAGAAATCTTGTTATTTTGATACATAGTATAAGAATACGTATTATTTTAGGATAATACGACTGATACGTTGGGGCTTTAAATCCTTAAAATCGTACAATACAATCATGATGTGATATCATTATAATGAATAATGGATTAATGATGTATGATTGACAGTATTGTGGGCTTATTTTATCATTATCTTTTTATTATGTTTCAAAACCAAGAGAGCATAGTAAACATGTAGTGTATGGTTGGCTATGTATGTAGGGTATGGTTAAACATCACATATAAAAATATCACGTGACCATACGTGGTACAGAATAGAACGGTCTAGGCCTTTCCTTATTTGGTAATAAACAATGTAGATCCGTATGGAACGCGTGCATACCCTACATACATAGGTATCCATACACTACATGTTATCGTAACACCCCAAAACCAAAGAACGAAACTAATTAATTATATTTACTGTTTTTATCTCACAAGTCAAGATTGTGTCACTTTAGGCTCATTTTAGTTTCCTTATTAAATAAAAAGTCATTTAAATTTCTAAAATGAGGTTATATTATAAATATTGTTGCGCGGGCTTGCGCCGTTAACCGAATATTTCAAATACCCAGAAGTTACGATCCCGGAGGTTTGTTTTAAGGCCACATACATAGTATAATTTGATACATTCTGTAATTATTTGAAATACATCCGCACATTTAACATATTTAGAACATATTTAGAACATATTGTGAGCACATATTTGGTCCATATTTGGTATATATTTGGTTCGCCTATTTAAACTAACAATAAAGATCATAATTAAGTAAAAAAAAAAAAAATTAAAAAAAAGTAACTTTTTTTTTCTTTTGGTCGGGGCTGAATTAGTCGGAAAAGTCGGGTGTCCGATTTAATTAAATTTAATGCATATCATTTCATTCCTGTAATTTAATTGGTGTTTTTTCTATGAATCGAATATTATTGGTTCATAAATGATTAAACCTATTGTCGATTGTGATTTACGTAAAAAGTTAAACCATTGTTATTTTTTTTTCACTCGGAATCACTATTTTAGTCTTTTTTATCATGCTTTTTAATCATGCTCTATTATAAATGAAAAAAAAAAAGGAAATGAAATAAAGAATTTTCTTAAAAATTTATAATTAAATTTTATGATTTAATTTAGATTTTTTAATAATAAGACTGTTGCTAACTTTCTCCCCGGGTGAAGATCACCTAAGGTGATTTCACCTAGATAGGTGATTTCACTCACGATTAATTTATTAAATTTATTAAATTTAATTGGTGTAAATTTTAATATTTCTCACTTCGTAATTTCTTCTGTAAATTTTTTAAATTTTTTTTGATTGGCTAAATTTTTTTAAATATATAATAAACATGTTTAAAATATTTTCGCACTAAAAGTTTATAACAATTTATTAATTTTTAATAGATTACATGATTTATTAATTGAAAAAACAAACTCATACTTTCCAAAATACTAAATTTTTTGATAGGAATGACAAAATAAATGAGTTACAACGATAAAGAAAAGAGAATATGTGAATGAAAAAAGGTAAAAAGAATGAAGGTGAATGAAAAAAATAGGGAGAGTGAAAGGGAATGAAGGGAGTGAAAGAAACAAAAGGAACGAAAAAGATCAAGTGGTAATGGAAAAAAATGAAAAGGATGAAGGGACGAAATGGAGCAAAAGGGAATAAAAAAATAAAAGGAATAAAGGGTAGTGTAAAGAAATGATGAAAAAGATGAAATGGGAATGAAAAAAAAATGAAAACAACAAAGGATAGTGTAAAGGAGCAAAAAAGACGAAGTGAGAATGGAAAAAAAATGAAAATAACGAAGGGTAGTGTAAAGGAACGAAAGAGACAAAGTGGGAACAAAAAAAAATGAAAGGACCGAAGAGAAAATAAAAACAACAGAAAAAACGAAGGAAGGGAAGAATAAAAAAAGCAGAAGAAATGAAGAGACGAAAAGAGAACAAAAAATGGAGAAGGGACAAAAATGAGATAAACAGGGGACCAAGTAAAAACCAAACCCATAAAATAAAAGTAGAAGTTAGTAGGGAACGGAAATTACATGTAATAAATAAACGAAAACAAAAAAATAAATAACATACCTTAATAGTTGCAGAGAAGAACCGAAATAAAAAGAGCGAAATACAAAATGTAAGAAACGAAATATAAGAATAAATAAAAAATAAGAAGAAACGGCCATGTAGTGCTGGACATATATATACCTTAATTGCAAAACCGAAAGAGCCAAAGGACCTAAAAAAATGAAATAAAGTTAGTAGGAAACAAAATACAAGAAGCAAAATGAAAAAAAAGAAAGAAAACGTACCTTGAGTGCTATCTAACGTTTAAAAAAAAGAAATGATCGGCATATTAATTAGCCAATAAAATTTAATTATTTAAATGAGGTGATAACACCGGGTAAATTATATAAAATTATCAGGTTAAATCACCCTAGGTGAAAAATTGTTAAATCACCCCGGGGGAGAATTAGTTATAATCTATTTTTCTTTAAAAAAAAAAACTTTTAAATTTTCCTTTTATTATAATTATCGCGTGATTGAGACTGTGTGGATGCGTGAGTTACTAAATGTGTGAATACGTGAATACTCCTCAATAAAAGTAATCATCAAATATTGTTCATTAATCAACGCCAATGAAATCTTCTATACAGAATTTCATTTTATCATTCAACTTTCAATACTCATGAATTATAATGATAAAATGTTAAAATTTTTTCCGTGTTACCAGACGAACTTTTAAGCAATAACTTCAATCGTCACAAATCACGATTTAAAATAATATAATACATATTTAGAAATAAATTCTTATTCGGCTATTACGACTATTTATTTTAAAATAATTTTAATAGATTTCGAGAAATGTAGTAATTGATAAATTCTAAGTATGATTTGAGAACGGCCTCTATTTATACACGGGTTTCCAAAAAAGATAAATTTTAATTCCGGCCAACATTAAGTGATCGGCATAAAAAATTTAACGAAAAAAAATTCGTTATAACAGATAAGTCAAAAATGACATTCAAAAGCATTTTTGACACTTTATGTATAAAACTTGCAGAAACATTTAATAAATAATAAGTTTTGAACCTATTTTTTTTTACTTTTGTTATAATGTCATCAAAAAATTATGGACAAAAAACTTGCGAAACGCCGCAAATTCCAAAATTTTGCTCTGATTGTGAAGAAATGAGCGATTCTGTCAAACTTTTTTCTAGTAAAGTAAATAAAATAGAAGAAGTTAATGACAATTTTCTATAAAAAAGAATAAGATTAATCAATTTTTACCTTCAATGCAAAATTTACTTTAAACAATGTCCCTTGCGAATTAGAATACGATTTATCAAAAATTTTCTTTAGAAAACTTACACAAATTGGTAACTTTTACAACTCAATATTGGAATAACAATAATGAATATTCATCTTCTATCAAAAATATCGACAACGAAAGTAATGATAAATGTTCATTGACTATATTTACAATTTATAATGGCAAGAGCGATTAGAAAAAAAAATATTTTCTAATAATTTATCGCAAACACAAGTTTGATTTATTAAGAAATTATTAAGTCAAGATGTTGCTCATATTTATGGCTTGTACATTTATGTTTCCTTAGAGGCATAGAACAACTTTTATTAATTCTTCAATTCCTTTTTTATCTTTTAATTTTTAAAAAAAAAAAAATAATTTATTATTCCGATATGTTCAATGAATAAATGTGTTTTTGGTACTAGTTTTTGATGATCTATTTTATCATTTTAATAATTTATCTTTTCGAACTCTAGATATTCAGTATGATAAAGCATTACTACATCTAATATGTTTCAAATTATATCAAGCATGCAAAATACTGTATGCAAATGTCACTTGAGCACAGTCTTTCGTTACACTACACAAATAATATTATCACTCCTTTTTAGTTAGTCACCTGATAATCATTTGGCGCATGAGGTATGGAAATAGGTTCGTCGGTTCTAATTCGGTTCCACATCGGCTCTAATAAAAAAAATATGAGCTACGTGTATCAAATTTAAGACACAAGTAGAGCTCCATTAATATAAGTAATTTCTTGGGATATCAGAGTTTTCAGATTTAGTGCGACGGTATATAACTATTTACATATATTTTAAACTATATTTTCTACCAAATAAAAAAAAGTTTTTTAACGGTTTAAAATTAGTCATTGAAAGCTCTTTAGAATGAAACTAATGATCATGATCATGGTATGAACCAGTAGTAATAGTGTTGTCTAAAGTTATCAAATAAAAACTAATTTTCGAAATAGTAAGCATAATACAACACTAATGATGATGGCTTCTTTACAGTTAGTTATACATGTATAAGGTAGCAGAATTGCGTATTAGTATAGCAAGCTTCTACAAATTTTCTAGTAAATATAATATCAAATTCTAAAAACATGAAAACATTATTAAGATAGAATTCGCATCAAGTTTTAATCCCATTAAAATCCTTATAATTGAGTTTGTATCGAGTTTATATAATTTAAATAATCAAAAACAAATATCAGAATTGTTCCAATCCAGGCCAATAAATGTTTTTATAAGCCATGCATAATAAGACATAAATGTAAAGATCACAATTCTATAAAAAGTTACAAATTTTACTAAAATGTGGTGTTTATGTATAGTTTCTAAAATAGAAAGTAGAAACGAAGTTTTAAAATTTATTGCTATCATAATACTAAAAAAATCTATACTCATACATTATTCTCGTCTGTCTGTAACAATACATTTTTTTATATACATTTCTTTAAAACCAATTGGATTGTCACGTGACATTTGGATCATTAATGATAAATTACATCATAATTCAGGCCAAAATTATTCCGTGGATAAATTATATCACGTGATATTATATATTTGTAGTTCTGGCCTGCATCATAAATTCGGCCCGAATTAATACAGCATTATATTTAAATGACTAGAATGACTAATGACTAGGTCATTCGAAGGTCATTCAGGAGTCATTTCAAATGGCCAAAATGACCTGGTCATTTGCAAACAGTATCGATATATTTCTTCCTTATTAATTACAATTATTACATATTAATCAGCCACAACTATTTTTAACTATAAGAAAAAACTTTTTTAAATATAAAATATGCATTCCCACATAGAAGAAGTATGGAACGTATCTAATCACATGTAGAATCATCACATGAGGTGTGTCAGTGTGTGTATATATATAAATATATGGCTTGGATATGTGAAACAATTATGGCATCTTGTTAAATTAGAGTGTACTACGATGTAATATTTTTCGGTAATCAAAACTTTACTTGTTGAATTAAAAAATTATAATACTTTTTAAATAATCAAACCAATTAAAAAGAATGATATTTTTCGTATGCAAATCTTAGATTTAGCGCGTAGGACTCTTTCTTTTGCGCTGAACATCATTATATTTTTAAATAAAAATTTATATAAATCGGTGCATAAATTATTAAGTTATTCGGTGGGCGTGTACAATTTTTCTATATACTGTAATAGAGTTATAATATGGTTAAACCTTCTTGCAGTCTTTTTTGCGAAGATTGACTTATTTATTCGTATGCTCTAAATTAAGTCGCATTAATTAAGCGATTAAGAAAATCAAAGAAATATTCTTCCCTGACTTTGACGCGTAAAATTTACCAAAGTTATTTTCTTGCATTTTTATTTTAAAGTTTTGTATAATTCAAATACTCAAACCAATTAAATACTTTTTAAGAACCAATATAAAATCCGTGTAATAAATTTTTTAGATTTTATCATTTGCGCATGATACTAGTTTTGAATATCATTGTATAAGAAAATATCATCAGTCAGTCGTTTTTATTCAACCTTGCACAAACAATAATAAGAATTGAAGATCTTCGGATAATGAGTTGTTTCGTTAAAATCGTTACATATGAATTGTAGATGGTATTATTAGAATAATTAGATAACGCCTTCATTTTCTAAATTGATAAACTAAAAAAAATTGAATATAAGTAATATTAAAAAATTATTATACAAATAATATATTTCAAATAAGTCGAGAATGTAAGTAACTAAGTATTAATTATTTCTGAGTCGCGTAACTTACTTTTGAAGCAACTATTGCTTTCCCTTGTCACATGTTACTAGAAAAATATGACCCCTTAAATTCTAATTTTTTTTTTTTTTTTTATAATATAGTTACTCCTCAGTCCTCACCTACTATTTGCCTACCATTTTCAAAAGTTTATTACTTAAAAATTTGTAATTTTAAGTATAGAATTTTAAACGAGTTTTTGATTGTGCCTCTTACGCGTTTTAGCTGACTGACCAATATACTACCATGTGATGACCTACATAGTAACATTACCATAGACCTTTTTTCAGAACTAATTAAGTTAGAGTATTCAAATAAACTCATTTCAGATTAAATAAATGTATTGACAGCAGGGGAACTGTTTTGAAGCAACACAGCAACAGGTGATTAACTGATTATTACAAATCAGCAAAAAAATTTCTTTTGTAACAGCTTACCGAATATATATATAGAAGAAATTTCCAGATTCTCGATTGTAGGATAAAATTCAATTTTGTTACCAAATTCAAACCTAACATTAATATAAATGCATCAATTTTACTTATTTTTATTTATTGGGTCGGATAAATATCCGTTCAGAATAATTTGGGCCATATTTATAGTGCCGGCCATAATTATTGTACAAGATCGTCAAATAAATTTCCATTTTAGGTGATAATTCCGGCCAGAATTATAAATTGGCCCGAATTAACACTTGTATTATCCATATCCGGATTAACGGATCCAGTCTCTAATCTTTTAGTTTAAAACTAAAAAGATTCAAGTTATGTATAATAATTTTAGTTAAGAAATGTAGGATTGCTTGGAGATTTACTCAATTTTCAGTTGTTAAGAGTATATATTATTACAAAAAAGTATTCTGTTAAGAATTCTAAGTAAAAAGAAAATTTATTTTTTAACTTTTTTTAACAAATACAATGTAATTATGACATTTATTGCTTTTATGTATGAGAAAGAAATATTGTGAACATCTATTAAATAAGAATTTAAAGTTACAACATTTTCGAAGCTTTAACCTAAAAATATACTACCATCCGCCTCTAAACTTTTTTTTAAAAAAATTTGTTCTTCTCGTGGAAGTGTCCGGTCAAACCTACGCTTAACAGCAGAGTCTCAAAATTTTACCTTCGGAACATATCATCCTCCCAAAAAAGCCAAAATCTACAAAAAAAACTAACAACGTTTCTTTAAAAAAAAAAAAAAATTTGTTCGTGTGGACCAACTTGAAAGAGTCAGAACCAATACTTACAAAAAATGATGAAAAAAAATTAACGTATATTTTAAAAAAAAAAAATTTTAAAAAATGTTTTAATGAAACTTAAAAGAAGAAACATTCGATTACTTCAAATATAAGTAAAATTATTTTTCTAAAAGAAATATTTGAAGTGAAACTGACAAAACGAAAGTTCAGACTTAATATTCAATTTTGATCACATTATCGGTTTCATTCTCTGAAATAAAGGAAAAAAAAGTTTCTTAACGGATGGTCTATTAAAGTGAAAAGTTGAGGCAAAATTTGATAATATTAACATGCAACACTTAGCACTCAATGTAATGTATCCATCTTGATACCTTTATATAAACAATTTTTTTTTATATTTATTGTATAAATTCATGAAATTCAAATGACTCGGATCATTTTCATTTATATTGAATATCAAATAATAAATAAAGTGAATCATTCGAATATAATATTTAAACATAATAAATATTAAACGTTTATTTTTTTTTTATTTCATTAAAAAAAAATTAATATCGGTAAAATATCCCTTCAATAAAATAATGACACGGGTTCTAAAAATGGGTTTTGGCAAAGTAGATCCCGGTGAAATGCACCTAAAAATTTAACAAATGTGTCTTTATTCGACTGAAAAATTAGATAATGGAAAGAAATCCGGTTATTGAAATAATTTGTTTTAGAACGTGATGCGCAAAATGATCCTTTTATTTTGATCAGGTGACATAACTAAAATCACCCACTCAGGTGATCATCTAACCTTATATGATCACCTGAGTGGGTGTATTTATTAGTTGACAATTATAATTTATGTAGTGTAACGAAAAGATGTGCTCTATTGCACACTTGCATAATAATATAATTTGAAACTATTTGAGCAAAAAATTTGACGCTGCTGAATTGGTAAAAAAAAAATCATATCATATATACAACATTATCATGAAACGCATGAAACGCGTAAGTTAGAAGATAATGATTTTATCTGGTAAATATTAAACATGATCAAAATAACCGAAAACATTCTATTGGTACTAAAATTGAGACTGGAGTATGTGCTACAATTAAATTATGAAAATAGTATGCGAATAGGAAATCTAATTTTAGATTTTTCACGGGAAAATAGTAATTAAGGGGCCGTATTTTCTAGTAACTATGTAAAGTTAGAATTTTAATTTTGAAACATAATAAATTCT